AAATAAAGACCTCAGAGATTAAATGTTTTAAAGACAGTATTGATGTGAAACTGAACTCCAGAAGATCTCCTTTGATAGAAAGATATATTGGGAGAGTCTGATATAAAAGTGCTCAAACTGGGATGCTTAGCATTCAATGATAAACAATCGGTAGATAAAAACCAACCTTTCTTACTGCACTTACCAGAGCCAGTGTGTGAGGATACTTCCAAGACTTGCAAGAATTATCTGTGGTGTCCTTCTCTTACTGATTCCAGATGGACAGTGGGGGGCACACTATTTTTGGGTAAGCATATGCAGCTCCCCTTCCAGCTGGTGAGAAGCTGGCTCAATTATTACGCACACTCAGTGAAGCTGTCCAAATAGAACAGATGCTTAACAAAAGGTGAGCGTGGTGGCCTACTTTTAGGCTCTGCAAGTCTCTCTCTTTTTGCAAGCACTGGTGAATACTTTTACTCGCCTACACTTTGTCAGAACAGCATGTGTACACCTACGCACAGATCAATAAGCTGAGCTTTTTTTTCCAGAAGAATATGCACCGTATTAGGCTCCTGGTTGTTTTGTCAGTGTCAAAAAACTGCAGCATAATGCTTCTTAACATTTTTTCTTCACAGTTAATACCATGACATCCTGTCACACAACAGACATCTCTTAATAAAAGTCTCTTTAAGGAAGACAGAGTAATTCAAGATTGGTGTATTCATGCCAAATAGTCTCTTAAGAGGTTCCAGATACTCAAGCATTTCAAAAAGCAGTAAAATATTTATACAATGATACAAGCCGATTGGAATAGCTATATTTTCACATCTTAGGGAAAAATTCTACCTGCCCCCTTCCATCCTGCCAGTTCCCACAACAGTCATCTCAATGGAAAAAGGTAGACTGATTTTTTTTAAAGGCCAGTGTAGGTAAAAACTGGCTGGTTTCCCTGCTCTTACAGACAGCTGTGAGCAGCTCTACACCCAACAGATCAAAGCATTTTGTTAGGGTTTTCCCAGTTTGGCGTGAAGAACAATAACCCATGGGTATGTTTACATATGCTCCGGGGGAGGACGGAGTTACAGCAGCTCTCAGGGAAAACTAAGAGCCACTATTTAAAAACGTCTGCAGCATCTCACATATTTCAGGATCCTGCGCTTCAAAATGGTGGTAGGGACACTTTAACTAAAGCTTTTCAAACAAGCTTTAGTTAAAGCACCACCGCCATTTTGATGCACAGTTGAATACAGGAGATGTCAAGCCTGCTGGAGCATGCTAATTAGCACGCTCCAGCAGGCTGTTAATCAAGTCTGCCCCGATGCACTGTAATTACAGAACAGTTGAGCAGGCACATCTACAGGCACCCCATCATTTTGCACAGTCTTAAAGCCTTGCAATTCCTGTTGTGCAGGGAGTTTGCAATTCCTTTAGTTTGCATAGGAATCCAATGAAATTTTTGGGCTGCAAGATATAGTTCAGGTGAGCATACCTGTGCTGGTGGAAAGCAAAGCAACTCCAGTTTTCTGCCACCTCATTAACTTCTAAAGACAAATTTCCAAGTGGCCTCAATGGCTCTGATATATCACAGTAGGTGAAGAGAGGAAGTGACATCTCACTTCCTGAACAGGACAGAAAATGATGAAATAAACCATCACTGTATGAAAAAATACATCAAACCTTTTATAATGTAGTAATATTGGTAGTGAACTATACACTTAATACATTGCTCTCTTGAAAATTAGTACACACTTACAAGTGGGCACCATTAAAATCAAGACCTCAGCCTACATGTGTTAATTGGTATTGAGTTTTGATAGAAACCATTACATTGTCCTTCATACCACAGTACCCTTTTCAAACTTTTCCAAAGTTTGACTAATAGAAAAAGGAGAAAAATCATGTTTTTGCTACCTCCCCTCCCCCACCTCCCAAACTAGGCTACAATGCTTATGAAAACAAAGTACTACATTATTATAGGATGATATAGTCTTTGATGTTGTTTTCCTTGATGAAAAGTCCAATGTGCTCATTGTGATAAACTATTCCATATTTGCCCTTATTTCTTCAGTTGAAAATGTGATTATAAGTCTCAGAAAATAGAATAATAATTAATCTTAAGTAAAGCTTCCATATAGAAAGATAATTATTTATAGGAGACATATTACATATTTACTCTGTAAACACTTTGATTTCTTAAACACAGTATTTTTGTTTTCTAAATTCAACAAATAAAAAAAGAGAACCAACTAATGAAGATATGCCAGCGTTGGGGATCCTTCAGACTGTGCTGATCCTTCTTACTATAATACTTTCTTTTCTGGATTCCAAGACAGCATTCCGTTTTGTACAGGATACCTATGTTTCCAAAGGACTGTGTGTCAAGAGACAAGAGCTTGAAAATTAAGGACCAACTCAGCATTCTGTTAACATTAATTTTATAAAATACCTTACAAGAACAGATAAAGTACTTGAGGTTACATAATAACCAGAATTGAAAAAGAACATTGAATAAAATATAAATTAATTGAACACATCACTATGTCTGCCACATGTTAGACAAGTTTATAAAAGGCATTTTCAGATAAAATAGTTATTTGGAAGAAAAACCTTCAAAATGGAAACTATTGCAGTCCTTTTCAGGAGATCATTCCTAGAAGCACTATATTCCAGGTCAACAGGCAGTACCTGAATCTGTTTAAAATGCACTGTTCATCTGCTTCCAAATTTGTCAAGCTTTAAGACACAAATTAAAATGTTTACCAGGTCAGGATAATCAGTGCAAAGTAAAGCTTCAAGCTGAAAATATGTGAAATAGAACGGAAGAATGATTCTGGTATAAAAAACTAAGTTCACATTATGAAGAAGTTTTTGCCAAATGTGCATTTGGAATGTGAAATGTTGACACACTGAACTAGTGGACACTTTAGGGTTCCAGCCAACTCACCTGTATGATTCATGACATAGAATTAATTTGTTTTAGCACAGTTTCAATTTTTGCTTAGCATCTTTGGGAAGGAACCATGCTGCTGATATTGTCATATTACTCAACTGCTGAGTCAGAAAATCTTGATAAAAAAAATTAATTTAGCATCCAAAGAAATAAATGCAAAAGAGGTCAGGTGCAAACAGATACAAGGACAAAGGCCTTTGGACAACTCTTTAAGGAAGGAAAAAAATTTGTAGGTGTTGCTCGTGAAACTATTTTTTCTGGTTTGAAGCCATTTTCACTTCCACGTGCATTCATGCTGGCAGCATCACACCCTTAATTTCCAAAGCAAAGTTGGAGATGTTTTAGGGAACCAGGATGTAGCTAAAGTAATCTTGCCTATACTCATTAATTCCTGTGAAGTAAACATCAACAGTCTAGCAAAGCATTTTCACTCAATTTGACTTTATACCTATTAACTGAAATGGGTCAGAGGCATCTTTCATGATATACTATTTAAGAATGTCTGATTAATACTCTCATTTAAAGATTAATGGAATACTTTGAGAAGATGAAGCTGACGTTTATGGTACTACTTTACTGAGATTTTCAAAAACACACAAAAAAACCCCCTTGCCAGTTGGACTCTGACTGCTACTGAGGAAGAAGGGAAGAAAGAGGGAAAATAGATTTTGTTGGGGGAGGAAGTGATTTTCAAACCTTTTAAATGACAGTAGTTCTTGCTTCTTAACTGCAACAATGGTTTAATGTGTGCTAAGCTCCTGCATAAAATTAAAAAAAAGATATAGAATCCATACTAAGGTTAACCATTATCATTAGAAATTTGAAAACATGGTCTTCAGACTGCTTGTCCTATAGCATGTTCTTTTTCCCCACCCCCCATTACTGCTATTCTGACAGCTATGTTAGAACTATAATTAAACAATTCTAGCAAAATTGCAGCATTTAACTTAAGAGCGTGTATCATTCTGAATTTGTACTGGGCTGAAATACAGAAGCATTATCAATACGAAGCAGGAAACAATCCACTGAACCAGAGAGTCGAAACAGCATATTTTGTTCCAGAAAACAGAAGAGTACAGAGGAAAACTTGAGCCAAAAGCTTTCACTTATCGCTATCTAAAGAATGAACATTTTAAGAAAGCTGCAACAGCCCTTTTCTAGAACAGAAATTCAGAACCATTTCTTAGACTGAAATGAAATAGAAGATCATTCCTTTAGCTCAAATACCTCTCATCATTTTGTTTCACTAGACAGATTCATGATGGGCATGTCATGCTTTGTGACACAGCAAAGGAATTTTTCTTTCTCCTTTGGGGGAGTAAGCTTTTGATGAAATGAAGGAGATCTAGATACAATGGTGATTTCCACTAGATTTTTTGTGACTTTGAATTCTGAACTTGAGTTGGTTGGCATCTTTAAAATAAATACATTTGTTGCTAAGATCTTGCCCTTTAAAGGGTATAAAACTTCTTCCACTTGCTTTGAGTGAAAGACAAAACTGAAAGATGAATGGGAACAATAAATAGGTATCTCAATCCAAGTTTAGCACAACCTGAAAGGTCTCATATACTGGCCACATTTCAAAAAGTGGAAACTATTCTGTTTCCCACATGGCTCATCTTTTCAACAGTAAGGGAGGAAAAGATGACTTCAACAGTTTCCACAAAAACAGGAAAGCAGCAAAACGGGAATTAATCTGGAAATATTTGGACTCTTAATTCAATGCTGTAGTAAGAACAGACCCCAACAAAGAGCAAGGTTTGGTTTGCATCAATCTGTGCTTAAAAAAAAAACACAAAAAACAAAAAACCCCCAAACTTACAGCCCAAGGCAACACAAATTCACCCAAGGCAAAAAAATAAAAATAAATCTATGATGCTTCCAAACAGAAGTAATGAGTGAATGAATATGGGTATTAAACACATTCTAACATAACAGTGTAGAAAGAGGGAATTACTAAAGAGATTTGCAAAAAAATATTGCTACAGTAGTATTAGGACTTAACAGTGCATCAAAGATTTAAAGTTCCCATGTTAATATGAACCAATCCAAGCTGTGATGAACCAGAGGCTAATCACTCAAATAGGAAGTTAACTTTATTCCATTTTGCAGGACTGTAATTTTCCTGAACATCATGAAGATTATGTAACAAGATTCCCTATTATTCAGCATGCCTGAGAATACTTAAACTATAACTAGTGGGCTGCCCTCAGTATCCAACGTAAGTACAACATGAACATATGCATTTGGTTTGTTTTTAAACATCTGAATTCTTAATACTCCTTAAGTTTTAAAGAGTTGTCAAGTGTCATGATTTAGTAACATGACTGACATGGGATTTTTTTATTCAACTGCAGAAACTATGTGGATAAAGACCTGTGTGTTTTAAATTCAGGTCACAAAACCATGTTAAGAAGAAAAGCTGCCCAATCTCACTGTCAAAATACCTTTAAGAAGGCAGTTCAAAGACAAAATAATGCATTATACATTCAGATTTTTTCCTCTCTCAAAAGCAAAGGAATCTCAGAAAAAACTCAGTAGTGAAGGCCACGTATTTTTTTGCATTTGTTTGATAAGCTGAAATGCAAAAAATCTTTAAAGCATCTTGTAAAAGTAGACATGGAAATGTGGAGCTTCTGGAAAAAAGATGATTTAATTGTTAGGGCAGTCAACATGGAAATTGTTGGGAATGCTACAGCAGAACTGACTCTGAACAGGAACACAGTACAGGAGTCAACTAGAAAACTTTTAACTTGCCCACTTGTAAACAAGAAAAAGCATTTCACAGATTGAAAGTTCAAGGGAAGTAAACTTCTTTAAATTACTTTGTCAGTTCAACCCTGATTTAAAAAGTATGGCTAGCAAAAATACGTAAGCTTCAGCCCATTTGTAAGTCTTGATTAGAGCAGTCATCTTCATTTGATAAACTGCTGCAAGCAGACTGCTTGCTAATGATGACAGGAGAAGAAAATGCCTCTCGAATTGCATCTCTCCATTTTCTCACTCCCAGATCCACAAGCACATACATGGAATTCATCTGCTGCAAGGACTTTCATGTTGCTATAGATTGAGACGTGGGGAGACTGGCGGAGGAAAGCAGGCAAATTCTCTTAAAATACTACGAGCAACGTCAACATTATTCTGGGCTATCTCAAGTGCCCGTTTAACTTCTTCGAAGGAAAAGCCCTCTCCCATAAGTTTTGCAATTTTTGCGTCCACATTTTCCACGGAGGTGTCGGCTTTCCTATGGTGTATTTCTGGTGCAGTCCTGCGAGGAAGTGGTTTAGGGGGCCTGGCTGGTGCTTGTGAACCATCTGTTTAAAAAACAAACAAACAAACCAAAGAAAACAGCTTTATGAAACAGGCTTATCCAAGTTACAGAAAACAGTGATTGGTAGGTTAAACTCCAAATCTAAGAAACCACATGAGAAAGGCTTTAAAAAACCTGTTACATTAATTTGCATTGACAGTGATTGGTAGGTTAAACTCCAAATCTAAGAAACCACATGAGAAAGGCTTTAAAAAACCTGTTACATTAATTTGCATTGTTCAAAGGAAAAAAAAAAAAGTTTAAAAAGCATTCATAGTGAAGAGCCTGTCAAAATTTTAAGAGCTGTTCAGTCTCAACAATCTAAGAGTTTAAGGAAGAAGGGTTTGTTTCTAAGAAACATTTTTTTCCCCACACAGCTGCTCGCAGTTTAGTTATTTTTATTCAGGATGCTACACAAGTCAGTTAGCTTTGGTGAAAGACAACTCCAAGCAAATAAACATGTGAATTTAATTCACTCAATTGTAGTTTATTTCATGCACATCGTCTGTACCCAAGCAGACAAATATTAGTCATAATTCCTCGTTCTGTCGTGCCTTAAAAAAAACCTATTATTCCAATTGATTTAATCAGCAAAAACATTGCCCTTAATTGTATACCCCAAACGTTTGGTTATACAGGTCAGAAGACATTGATAAAGCTACGCTATTTCCTTTTTTGTAGTGCTCCATAAAAATATTACCCTTTGCAGTTAAGTTTCAGAGAATCATAATGTGTAGGTGCAAACAGCACTTCTAACCTCCTCAGAGCCAAGGGCTTAGTACTCAAGTAAAGTGGGTCCACTGTCCATACCCCTTTAAGAGGGCAGATTAGAGAAAACATTTCCAGCTCAAAATATTCTTTAAGGATTTTAATCTTTCAAGCAGAGTTCTAAAAAGTTCCACAAACAATAAACAGTGAGGAAACTGATATGTAATTAGAGGAAGTTACTGGCTGTAAAGTCTTCCACTTTATTTATATTGGTGCCAATAGCCTTTTGTCATCTTAAATCTTCCAGAGATGTCTTTTTTGATTTGGAGATGCAAAGGAGTTTTTTACTCACCATCAATGCTCTGATTTGCTACTTAGTGCAGTCTTGGAAAGAGAGAACACTTGGACTGCAATTCCACTGAACATGTTAAATATCTCAGGTAGATCAACATATTCATATGATTTCACATTATGTAGAAGTACATAAGATGAATATTTCTCAGCTCAGGTTTTTGTGTGTTCACATGAATTTGCTGGTATCAGTATAGTTTTATTCTTACTTTAGACAAGACCCTAGGGTTTTTTTGTTTCTGTTTTTGAAGGATTACTCTAACAAATGAAAAGGTACAATCCTTCCTTGAGCAGGGAGTTCGACTGGATGACCCTCTAAAGCTGGAGGGGACCTCAGGGGGTCATCCAGTCAAACTTCCTTCATGACCTTCTGAGGTCCCCTCAAGCCTTTTTTTTCCCCATGATTCTATGAAACGAGTAACTGGACTGAGATCAAAACTTGGGTTAATTTTTATTTGAACCATTGCATCATCTTCTGTGCAACATGGTGATGAGAAAACCTGTAGATCGTAAGCAGTACTTCATGTCTGTCTGTAAAGGACGCTGAGGATGAAAGTGTCATATTAACATTAATAAATACAACAAAGCGGGATTGAGCTTGCAGGGGAAAAGTGAGAAATACTTGCAGGCTGAAGCAGTTAGCAATATTTCAGAAAGCTTAGCCGTCAGTAAGAGAGAAAGAACTAACATGAGGAATTCAAACTTGTTCTACACATCCAATTTAAGCTACTATTGAAGAATATTGTCTCTATTTATAATTGTGAAGTATGCACACAATGCTAGAAAACTGCCAGACGGATTGAGATATAGCACTAAGAGTAAACATAAAAAGCAGTTATGGAAACATGTCTGTGGCAGAAATCTGTCCACAGAAGAGAAATTATGTTTGTATATAAACCTTTTTTTCCTGGACTCAAACAGCAGGAAAAATGCTGTATGTGTGGATTGATTTTATTTTTAAATATTAAATAGCCCATTCTAAGCAGCTTTACTTAAAAAAAAATTCAATTTTGGTCTCAAACTAAAATGACATTATGTCTGAGCTTCCTAGAAAACTTGCGTAAGCAATCATGTCATTTAAGCAAGCACGTTTTTAATTCTTTGGGAAGATTTGCAAAACATGCATTTTCTTTTCATTCCACTGATGTGTCTATCAAGCTGGTACTTTTTAAATCTTTAGATCACCCTCTCTGCAACTCTATTCCCATTTAGAATTTTTTTTCTTAAGTGCTGACACTTCTCTCAATATCTTCACAGCCATATAACATTTTAGCTGAGGCTAGGTATCATGTTAAATCCTAAGCTTAAACATATTTAAACTGCACTTCCATCTGGACACAGAGGGCCTTTGTACATGTCACAAAACTGGCCTTTAAAGCAGCTTAAATTGCCCTTTTGCACCGCTTTAATGGCACTGCTGTTTGCACATTCAGTGGCGTATTCTGTTTTAATGGCATTGCTGTTTGCGTGCTCAGCAGCATATTCCACTTTAAATGACTTTGGTACATAGCAAGATAAAACACCTCCGAGGCGTTTTAGTTTGCTACCTAACAAAGTGCAACAGTGCATGAAGCCAATGTGCTCAGGGCTTGGCGAGCCCCATGCAGCTCAGGGGCTGTGGGACCTGGCGGCAGCCCGTGCAGGCAGGCTCAACTGAAGGGAAAAAACCAAAACAAAACACACACACATAAAAAACAGAGTGAGCCTGATCCTCCCCCCAATTCCTGCCTGCCTGAGCTACGCAGGGGCCTGGTGCTTCCCTCCATGGCTGGGGGGGAGGGACGGGATGGGACCGGGGTGGGGGGACACTGGTGCTTCCCTCCATGGCTGCAGCACCCTCAGGACTGCCTGGGCCAAGTTCCAGCTGGTAGGTTGCCTGGTGGCCCTCACACAGCTCAGGGACTGCTCAGCCTGCTGGCACTCCCCCCCCATCCCCTGCCAGAGAGGCAGGTAAGGATTGGGCCCCCACCCTTATGTACACACCACAGGCTTTAGTTCAGTTTAATTCTTCCTAAATTGAAGCAGTGTTTTTAAAAACCCACCATTTCAATTTAGGGAGAACTAAGCTGAATTAAACCCCTGTGGCATGTACAAGTAGCCAGAGATAAAGGCTTTTCTCCCAGTCAATCTCCAGCGTCCCAGTCTCCAGTCACAAAATTCAACTCCAGATTTTTCTCATTTATGTAATTCAATTAATTGCTTTAGCCTCTGAGCAGGCAGCCTCTACCATTCACATTAGTGTCACAGGGCTGCATCGAACCCTGAGGAAACTGACTAACCTCAAAGCAGATCAAGATGGAGGACAGGATTTAATGAACAACCGAAGTTCACCAGCACAAGTGAGACTTGAACAGAAGTTGCTGTGACATGAAAGAAAGCAGCCCACTGGCCTCTGGAATGGAAAGTCAAATTAAGACTCTCTCATGTAATGGATGCCAGCCTTTTCTCCTGTGAACTATCCCTTTCGGTTCCCTTTACAACATGCCCATCATCTGCTCACATACTGGGAAGCAGCAGGGGCACCAGGCAAGCAGATGTGCTGGTGGGCAAGTGGATGCAGGCTTGTTGTGTGAGGGTGTCTGAAGATGACGTAGGCTGACCCTGATAATTGAGGTGCAGGAAAACATCTTCTAGGAATGCATCCTTCTAAGGAGCTGAGGAAGATGCTAGGTACTCAGTAAAGTTATGTTTGGGTAGGTGTTCCTCAGAGCCCTAAAACATGAGTTTCTCCAAAAAGCACAAATTAAAGAAAGTGTTTTCAGACAGGATGAAAGAAATCAATCCTAATGATGTAACGTATCAACAGAATCCCCCTCATTCCTTCAAAAGGGGGGTGCCTTTATTGTTCATGTTTAAATAAAAAAGTGCAAGCAAGATTTTACATTTCAGCTACTAGAGTGGTGATTCTCAACCAGGGTGCCATGAGATCTTAAAAGGTGCCATGGGATACTTCTCAATACAGCAAAAGCTGTGCTGTAACCGGCATGCCGATCGACGCGGCAAAAGTGAAACCAGAAATCCCACTGTGGCACATCCGGTTTTTCAGAGTCCCACAACCAGGAGAAAAGCAGCCTGCGCGGGGGGTCCCCTCCCTGGCCCCCAGCACACAGTGATATGGGAATAGTAAGCTTTTAATTAAAATTCCCTCCTTGCTATTCATTTCTGTTCAGGCCCCCACCCTGTCCCTCGACACACTGACGCACCGGATGCGTTGGGAGGGCCCAAACAGACGCCTCTCAGATAACTAGCAATTTTGATTAACCAGCACTCCACATTCCCCCTGGATGCCATAACAGCTTTTGTTGTAGTAAGATAGTATTTGCAATATTAATACAAGCAAACACCTACACATGATTCACAAAATAAAGAAAGACTTCAAATAGGAATCCACCATGTGAAAAACATTCTGGAACCTGTTGTGATCTTTGAGTTATTTGCAAGAGAAGAATTGTTCTATTGTTTTTCCATAGCAAAGAATTAACTGAAAGTTAAGAACTAACATTTTTTGAAAGGTGCCTTTAGTCTAACAAAGTTTATGTGGACAGTTGGCTAATAGTACTTTATAAAGGCCAATGAGTAGCCAGGACATGCCCAACTTTTCCCTGTAGCACCAATGAGATACTAAAAGCAGATGCAGCCAATGTATCTACCTCGTTCCGTATGCAGCCATTTACCGGGAAAAGAATAAAAAGAGGAGTTATAGGGGGGAAGAAATCAGACTTCTCCTCACTCACACCTATGGTAGCACTTAACATCAACACTGAACAGGTATGTTTGCACATAGGTTCAATGCCTTCACAGTTAAACCTCTAGAATTAGAAAACTCCCTTACTTTTTCATTATCCTTATTTCATTTCCTACAGAAATGATACCAGAGCACATACTAGGACAATTACAGACAACCCCCCTCAAATAACACCCCACCCACATCCCCCAATGCTGAAACAGTCAAGAGGAAAGTTAAGGGCCTTTACAATCATTTCTGAATATTTTAGCAATGTTAGAAATATACTTGCCCTAGCTAGTCAGCAATTAAGTTGACCACTGTCATAGTGAAGCAGGTACTCTAATCATAAAGGCAGACAAAGTGAGATGCAGAGGTCATGTGTCTTGCTCATGATCCTACAGTAGGTCTATGATAGAGTTACAAACTTGTATTTGCTTCCTTTATGCAAAAAGTTCCAACTCTTAGCTCTAAACAAGGGCTGGCATGATGAAAGACTTGTTAAGAGTTCAATGGCTACAGAATAAATTCCAACTCTAAGTCAGTGTTTCTCAACCCATGGGTCACGACCCAAAAGTGGGTCGAAGAATATACGAAAGGGTCGCAAACAAACTTTAAAAATGGATTTTTCTTTAAAGGAGAAAAACATGAGAAACCATGGCTTTTCCCTTGCAGGCTGGCAGAGTTACAGCCTGCAAAGGGGTTGCTGGGGGCCTCTTTGGGCCCCCCACCCCACATGCTGGGGGTTGGGGGTCGAGGGGCACTGAGTCGAGACTAGCCATCAATTTTTACAAATGGGTCCTGGTACAAAAAAGGTTGAGAACCACTGCTCTGATATAGTCCATACCAAGTTGTCTTTTTGAATCCTAGAGTAAGGTGAATCAGTTCATCTTGAAACTCATTAATTCCATAGGAGGGAATTACTACCACTATAAGAACAACTTTCCAATTATAACATGACATGATTTAATTCAGTTTTCATTTCATTCAAATTATATTTAATATCTTGATGTATATTATGCTGAATTAGCATGATATTAATAGCAAAGGTTGAAACACATGGACATTTTAGAAGGTGGAGGGTTGTGGAATACATATAGGTACTGGAGCATGTATTAAGTAATACCAAGGAAGCTATTTGAGATCTTTAATAGCAGGCAACTTGCAATAATTGAGCAGAAGTAAAACTAGCTCACAGAGACAGCACGGAGGGAACATACCATACTCTGAAGGTGATCAAGACATCATCATCATGTTAGTATGGTAGTACCAGAAGCGCCTAAACAGAAATCAAGGCCACACTGCGCTAGGCAATAAAAAGTTGCTACTCTCATCATTTTACATTATAAGATAAATACTCTGGTAACCTTTTAAAAATTGCATCTAAATAATAAGCACTAGCATTATAGTAGGGGCACTGGGCTACTGAATATGCAATCTATTACCTGACGTACCAAACTGAGGTTCAGACCTTTAACAACCATTAAAAATTCCATGACATTTTTCAGACTTCTCTATTCTCTCCTGTAATTACAATTAAAAATAGATTCTTCCTGTCTTATGCTGCCATATAACGACTCTTGGATGCTGTTAAAGAGACCATTCCATCTGCACTGTAATGTATACCCCAATTCTTCTAATAACTGTGCGGGCACATAACTCAACAGGACTACTTGCATGAGTAACATTTTGCACTGAGGTAACTGCTTGTAGGTTCAGGACCACAACTGGCCAATTCATCCCAACAAGTTAATCTTTCATACAACAGCTGATGAGAGATGAAAAGAAAATTTGTGAAGAATAGAAAAAATAGGACTAAAATCAGCAGGACTTGGGGGTATCCATGAGCAATACTGATGCCACTATTTAAGTATTTCTGTTTTAAAAACTGCCCTGATTTTGAGTTGATAGCATCTCCTAAAATAGCAGTGTTGTACCACAAAAAGCAATTAGTATTTCAAGGGGTGGACTGACTGGTTCCTACTGGGCACAAAGGACACTGGCTCTCCATTTGCCACTCCATTTTGCAGTCACAAACAGCTTTATGAATCCAATTGCAGGATGCAGCCATCACATAACTGTACTAGAGAAGCAATGGGAGTGCTATCTGGATCGGAGACTGTCAGCTTTTTAATTTGTTGTAGAAATTTGTTGACTTGTGTAGTTATAAACTTTGCAAGGTATTCATTGCTTAAGTGACCCAGTACTTAAAAGTACTCAGATCCTTATTACAAGGTACATCAGTATGAAGGTAAGAGAACAACAAGAGGCAAGTTCAAATAATATTTTTTTCATGAGACAATAAAAAGAGAGCAAACTTAGTCAAGAACTGTAACAGTCACTGCTTGACTTCTGGCCTCTTGTGACCTCAGACAGAGGGAAAATTACTTGTCATTTCCCAGAAAAGTTTCAGAATGGACATAAAACAGCCCATTTCAACTGCTAGGAAAGAAATAAGTCACTTGGAAGATGTCACTGTTACTCAGGTTAGGGCCAACCACACAGAATTTTGCTTGCTATCATAACATCCATCTCTACTGTTCCTCTGATGGATTCATTTTTTAAGCAGAAAAAGAACTGCCATGTGACTTGATGTGATGGACAGAAGCCATTCTTAAATGGTAGTGTGTGTGCACGGCTTGGAACAGTCTAGCAAACAAGACTTTAGTCTTTTTGTGCCAAGATCATTTGTGTTCTTAGCCAGACTCTCTCCCCGCATGGTTGTTGTCTTACCTGAACAGGGTGGAAGCTGATCATAGTCTTGGGATGTTCTATTAGTTTTGACATTGTCCCCTGTTAGTCTTCGAGCAGGTGGCAAAGGAGCTGGACCAGTAACTGGATCAAAATGGAGATCTATAAAGAAAACCAAAAAGACCCAAAAGATCCTTACAAAAGTTTTAATTTTTAAGTCTTACATACAAAGTCTATAGACCATCTTTATGAACAACCTCCTTCAGAGGAGGAGCTATGAACACAAACAGAAGCACCCCCTTTACAATCACGTGCTAGTGACTGGAGGAAGTAGTTAATTTAAAAGTATGCCTCCCTACTCTGCAGTCATTGTGATGAGTGGTGAGATTTCCAAGTCGACTTTAAACTAGGTGACTTGGCTTCTGACAACAGTGTAGACTAGAGTGCAACAGATTGCAAAACCTGCCTGAGAAGCTGGATATATATTTAGATAGCTAGCCCATGCTGAGCTCTGCACTAACAAGTTATTTTGCTAGATGCACCCAAGCTGGCGAGTGTTAAGTTTGCTTGGGATGTCTACAAAAGTTCAAGTAATAGCAGCGAAAACCATGTAGAAACACTCTTAATGCAGACCCCTGTTTACAAACACACACCAAAGAAAGTAGGGGTAAAACTGTACATCTTCCTTTGTCAAATATAGGAAAAAGATTAAAAGTCAAAGATAAGAAAGATCCTAAAACATTCAACTCGTTTGATCTTTTTTAAGCCCAACTGTAATTCAGCAAGTGCTGCCCTGAACGTGGCTTCTTTCCTGAATTGGGCCCCAATTCATTTACTATAAAGGCCGCAGTGACGGTACGTGGTGTAGTGCACATGCATAGTGATCTAACTGGTGCATGGTTGTGAAACCGTCAGAAGGCTTCTTGGGAACCAATCATCATAAATTAAAAATTTGGAAAGTCATTCATTATATATGCAGAGTGGCTTACTTGACAAGATGCATGGTAATTAATATAGCTTTGGAGACCAGGTTCTAAAGAAACACTGAAAAAAGCCCCTAATCTATGCAAACGTGTCAGTGACAGTGTATTTTCATAAAAAGTATGGAAAATTTTAAGTGTCCATGAAATGCATTGTTCAAACTTTGTGTCAGCAGATATGAATTGTTAGTTTTAAGGTTATTTATGATACATGTTCATTACTGTTACACTTCAATTCCAAGTAATTTGAAACTTCACACAGCTTTGTGAATAGCAGGTAACTTTCATCTTCAAACTTCTTATATTAAAATAAATCCTGGCCTTGAATTAATGACTGAAACTTTAGAATCTGTTAAATTGCAAATTCATCCCATGTGTGCATGCACGAACAGTGGCTTGTTTGACAAAATACATGGTGAACTGAATTCTGCAACATGAAATAAAGTGTACTGGTGGATTATAACATTCAGGTCTTGATGCATAGCAGAAAATATACCATCAGAAACATGTCAGAAAGGGTCACTTGGGTTCAACCTAATTAGTCGAAAGCACTTCTAACATTTTTTGATGCTTCTAAAGTCAATGTTTATTTTCAGTGAACTTCCTTTAATCTTATAACTGTTGTTCTGTGAAAGACACCTGCTTTTTATACTATTTTGGTGACACCTTATAACGGATTCAAGCTAATGTATTTCTTTACAGCTGCATATAGATGTGAAAAAACCTAGTGCTTTATTTAAGCATGGTGAGCTCCTGCACTGAATGCAGCACATGTCCAGAAGAGGCATTATGTCAGTTTGACTCAGCACACCTGACTTTTATTTATTTATTTATATTTATATTTATATTTATTTATATAT